TGGGCCACCCTGAGCTCTGGCACGGCCCTTCCGAGAAGCCCGAGAATGGCCATCCCGGAGAACTAACAAGTCCAACATAGAACGACAACTAGATGAGACCTCATGCAGAAACTGAGCAACAGCAATCCCCACAAACAGCAATGTTCAAAACGGCAATGAAAACCTAATATTGGGCCCAAGCGGATTCCAAAGAGAGAGAGCAAGCACAGCCTGGTAGCACACGAGGCGAGAAGCAAAGAACAGAGACACTGTCTCCCTGAGAATCGGTGCAAACAGCTTCAACAGTGCAGCCGACGCCTGAGCCACAGAGACCAGCGCACAAGACGAAGGCTTAACACTCAACGCCTCTACATCTCCTTAAGCCAGTCCGAAGACAACTCGAGAAGGGAAAAGAAGCGCAAGACTGAAGCCAAATGCCCTCAAGCATGCAGGTCCTCAGCTACCAAAGAACCTCATAACGCACCCAATACGGGGAAGAAGAACCGAACTCAAACGAGGATGGATCCATCACAGAAGCAGAAACCGGGTCTCAGAGAAAGTATGCCGCAATAACCTCCTGAACTGTCTTAGGAGAGATTCTAGAGGAAGAAAACCTCCGGAAGGAAGGAGCCGAGGAACCTAAGGGAACCCGGAACCGAACCCAGGGAGGAACTGACCCCAAATCATACTCATACAGGGAAGAGGGGGTTAAGAAAACCCCTCCCCCTGCAACAACAAGCCCTGCAAAGAGGGCACCAAAATTCAAGCGGGATCAAAGGAGGCCAAAACCCCCCAGGTAAACTCTTCCCCAGCCCCAGGATCCTCCAAACCAGCACCCAGGGCAGAGTCCTTCATGCCCTCTTTCCCTGAAGAAAAGACAGAGTCCAGGGAAAAGATAGCAAAGAAGGGTCCTTCTGGGTCCTTCTCCTGGTAGAACCAAGAAGCCTCGGTAGGAGGAGCAGGCTCGAATGCCACCATCCCTGACTCGAAAGGGGCAGTTCCCTAAGGTGCCCGAGTCTCATCGTCAACTAAACCCTGCCCAACTCTGAAATCCTCAGATGTTTCGGAGCCAGAAGCAGGAAGGGAAGGGAGGGGGGAGGGGGGGGGAAGGGAGTAGGGCAAACAATACCAACTGAGGAAGGACTGGGAAGCGTGGACTGAATCAGAGTTGAAGCACCAACGCCTCCAAGTCTGGGTCCCTATAACCAAAACGTGGTAGCCTTAGGTCATCTGAGTACCCGAACCTCAATGTAAATAGAATGGGTAAATTGGAGCACTAGCAGAGAACATGTCTCACAAGACTCCAGGCCAAAGTTGTTGTTGACCCAACAGGCAGCATGAAGGAGGCAAAAAAGGTGACTGTCACCATGAGACAAGGGCACAGAGCACCCTTCAAACTCACACACAGTGAGCTGGAACTCAGAAGACCCATCCATCGGTCTACTGAGCCCCGACAAAGTTTTCCAGGGCCCGCAGGCTGACTGCTTTGGGAAGCCCAGCCAAGGTGCAGCAAAGCTGGTTAAACCCAAGAACTAACAAAGGGGGATGAGCAATACCTGAATCCCTGCAATGTGTACAACCATGGGAGCCTAGAGGAGGGCCACCAAAATACAATAAGTGGACCAATAGTCAAACAAGGCAGACCCCTTGGTCAAGGCCAAATTGATTTTTCCTTGCCTGGAAGGGGTCTCCAGGCAAGGAAAACAAAAATAAAAGAAAAACCGCACAAAAGTACGTCACCAGAAGAAAAAGGAACGTGGCCACCACGTTGGTAGGCATGATGCACAGCACTTTGCAACAACACCACTTCCTACCCAGGGTCAAACAAAGGTCACAAAACCGCAGCTGACCCCAAGGGCAGGGGTAAGCAAGCAGCAAGAACCCCTATGGAAGTGGGATCCCGAAGGCCCTATGGAAGTGGGATCCCAAAGGCCCTATGGAAGGTAAACGTAGCATCCAAGGGGTAGTACTTACAGGGCGCTTAGGGAAGGTAACCCTAAGCGCATGCAGCCCCAGTACACGAAAGTTGCACCTGGCAACTACACAAAACAGTAGAGAACACCACTAAGGCAAAACACTGAGATCAAGAAAGCAAGAAATCAAGGACAGAGTTGACGACCGCCCCAGATCGCTGTGCGGGTGAGCCTGCGGACAAGCAACGTGGCTGCGGTGTATGACATTTGCTTGTTTCCTTGTTTCCTTGTGTGTGTTGGGGGAGTTCTGCCTCTCTGTTCGGTCTTTGGTTGCAATTTTCGTACCAAGTGGAGTTTGTTTTGTTATGCCTACCTTTCTGGGTGCCTAACCCCAGTCGATGGCAGACATGGAATGCCCCCAACCACATGGGGATTTCTATAGGCCATTGCACCCTGTGCCTCTCTGAGGGGTGCCAGGTTCTGGCTCGTGGACCCCGGTAGGCTGAACTCCAATTGACGGATACCCAACACTAATATATCGTATATCAGTCCAATAGCTTCAAGGGGCCAATGGGGCTACTCACAGAAACTTTAGTAAAAATTCATATTTATAACAATGTGAAAAGAATACTGAATAGCACTACATAATCTATATGTTCTACATCAATAAATTAAGAACTTGTATAAATAATTAAGAGAATAAATTTGATGTACTGTACTTACCATCAAGCAAAATCTACAGTAAATATATTCTAGCATAACTGCCAGTCTCATGATGTTTTCTTTGTATCCAACACAGCAGACATTAAAAATCAATTTGGTTCTCACAAATTTTGCACCACACATTACATGCACACTTGTCACACTAAATGCTAATGTTCATACTACCACACACACCAAACTCACCGTCATCATTTACTATCACACACACCAAACTCACCGTCATCATTTACTACCACACACACCAAACTCACCGTCATCATTTACTACCACACACACCAAACTCGCCGTCATCATTTACTACCACACACACCAAACTTGCCGTCATCATTTACTACCACACACACCAAACTCGCCGTCATCATATACTACCACACACACCAAACTCGCCGTCATCATTTACTACCACACACACCAAACTCGCCGTCATCATTTACTACCACACACACCAAACTCACCGTCATCATTTACTACCACACACACCAAACTCGCCGTCATCATTTACTACCACACACACCAAACTCGCCGTCATCATTTACTACCACACACACCAAACTCACCGTCATCATTTACTACCACACACACCAAACTCGCCGTCATCATTTACTACCACACACACCAAACTCGCCGTCATCATATACTACCACACACACCAAACTCGCCGTCATCATTTACTACCACACACACCAAACTCGCCGTCATCATTTACTACCACATACACCAAACTCACCGTCATCATTTACTACCACACACACCAAACTCGCCGTCATCATATACTACCACACACACCAAACTCGCCGTCATCATTTACTACCACATACACCAAACTCACCGTCGTCATTTACTACCACACACACCAAACTCGCCGTCATCATTTACTACCACACACACCAAACTCGCCGTCATCATTTACTACCACACACACCAAACTCACCGTCATCATTTACTTCCACACACACCAAACTCACCGTCATCATTTACTTCCACACACACCAAACTCACCGTCATCATTTACTACCACACACACCAAACTCACCGTCATCATTTACTACCACACACACCAAACTCACCGTCATCATTTACTACCACACACCATACTCACCCTCATCATATACTACTACACACCAAACTCGCCCTTGTCACACTGCCATATACCAAACTCACCCTTGTCATACTGTCATATACCTAACTCACCCTTGTCACACTGCCATACACCAAGCTCACCCTTGTCACACTGCCATATACTGACTGACCCATGTCATAGTACCATGTACCAAACTCACCCTTCTCACACTGCGATATACCAAACTTACCCTTGTCACACTGCCATATATCTAACTCACCCTTGTCATACTACCATACACCAAGCTCACCCTTCCCACACTGCCATACACCAAACTCACCCTTGTCACACTGCCTTATACCTAACTCACCCTTGTCACACTGCCATACACCAAACTCGCCCTTGTCACACTGCCATATACCAAACTCACCCTTGTCACACTGTCATACACCAAACTCACCCTTGTCACACTGCCATACACCAAACTCACCCTTGTCACACTGTCATATACCAAACTCACCCTTGTCACACTGCCATATACCAAACTCACCCTTGTCACACTGCCATACACCAAACTCACCCTTGTCACACTGTCATACACCAAACTCACCCTTGTCACACTGCCATACACCAAACTCACCCTTGTCACACTGTCATATGCCAAACTCACCCTTGTCACAATGCCATACACCAAACTTACCCCTTGTCACACTGCCATGTAACTAACTTAACCATGTCATAGTACCGTGCACCAAACTCACCTTGTCACACTGCCATATACCCAACTCACCCTTGTGACACTGCTATACACCAAACTCACCCTTGTCACACTGCCATACACCAAACTCACCCTTGTCACGCTGCCATACACCAAACTCACCCTTGTCACGCTGCCATACACCAAACTCACCCTTGTCACGCTGCCATACACCAAACTCACCCTTGTCATAGTACCATGCACAAAAACTCACCCTTGTCACACTGCCAGATACTTAACCCACCCTTGTCACACTGCCATATACCTAACTCACCCTTGTCACACTGCCATATACCTAACTCACCCTTGTCACACGGCCAGATACCTAACTCACCCTTGTCACTGCCATATCTCTAACTCACCCTTGTCATAGTACCAAACTCATCAGTGTCACACTAATACTTACTACACAGCTATCTATAATCCTAAATATGGCATCATATATATATATCTTTGTCTTTAATTTGGGCTCGTGTCCCATTAACATAACTGACTACTGTATATATGATGTTTTATAGTACAGTAATAAATTTTCACCGAGTTGATTTACAACCTGTAAATGAATTACCTTGGTGAAGGTGGTCTAGGGGGTGGAGGAATGTCTGATAAACTGTCATCAAAGCCATCATTCATAATGTCTGGCTTAGATTTTATATCAGAGTTGAGCTTTGAATGCTCTTCTACTTTTCTTGCAGCCTCCTGTAGAAATCTCGACTCGTTATTTAAAGCTTCTTTTTTGGCAGCACTTTGAGCAGCTTTGAGCAATTCCCGCTGTGCTTCCCGGTGAGCCCACACACTAGCTCCTTGCTGCTCTAAAAAGAGTTCCAGCAACGTACATTTACTATCAGTTAAGTGAGTAAGAGGGTCAGATTTTGTCGTTAGAGGGTCTGATCTCCTTTGGGGTTTTAAGTCTTTGTCATGAGAGCCATGATATTCCCTAAATGAATCACTTTTATCTATATTTGGGGGAGGGGCTGATTGAGTCCGTACACGCTCTGTTCCATTTATGCTGTGCTGATTTAATTTTGTGGGTGTAGGCTCAGATAACCGATCAGGAGTACCTGCTGTTTTTCTACTTGGACCCCTTTTTTCTGGTCTTCCTGGACCAGAAGTGACTTGATGTCTTCTTCTCATAGATGGCAAGGAATTAAATTTATCATGTCCATGCCCTGATTTTCTTGTAGTCCTCTTAACATCATTTAAAACTTCACTGACACTTTCATACACATTTGACATATCTTCCAATTCAAACTCACCGCTATGTCTGGGTGTGACAGTCCGTGAACTACCATGACTACGCTCACTCTTATATCCATCATCTCTTTGGATTCGACCAGTTTCTGTTTTTGGACTCTCACTTCTTGGTCTATCCTTGTATCCACCAATTGTATGTTTAGCACCTCTGTCTTCTCTAGGTATCCTTCCAGTGGTAGCAAATCCACCTCTTTTCAAAGCTTCTCGAAGGCCTGGCAATGGATCTTGGAACTCTTTTGGTGGTGGTGGCAAGGGTACTTCTTCATAAACATGAGGTTCTGCTCGATTACTATTATTTACTTTCTGTAATGATTGTGACTTCTTCACTTCCTTTTTGTGCTGCCCTTTCCTTTGTTTGACCTGCAGTTGATCATTTGAAGCTGACCTCTGAGTTGCCTCCTTCACACCTGATTTGTGCCCCTGAGTCCGACATTCTGACCGGCTAACTCTTTGATTTGCTGGGCTTTTTGACCCTTGCTTACTTTTGTACTTAACTACAGGTATAGCTTTTACTGGTGTTTCATTTGTTGGAGTCTTTGGTGTTTGTGGTCCATTAATTTTTATACCATTATTTTTTGTTCGATTTGCTTTTGTACCGTTACCTTTAGTTCCACTAGACTTGTGTGCATTGCATTTAGTTCCATTGGAATTTGAACCATTGCTACTAACTCCATTTTTTTTAAATTGGGCAGTGGAAGCAGCTGAGAGCATGTCTTTAATTGGAAATTGTTTAATGTCTAAATCTGGACTGATCTGACCACTTGATGAGCCTGAGCTCTGCCGACTAGAATTTGACACCCAACCACTTTGTTCTGAGGTAATATCACTATTAGAGGAAGAGTCCTGTTGCAGGATAAGAGGTTTAGGATTGTCAGGTGTCTTCTTAACAGGTGATGTAATTTTCTTAGTTAAAGTAATTGGTTCAACCTTCTCTCTACCAATTTGTAATAATGTAGAATCTGATGCAGATACTAAGCCAACTTCAACGTTGGAAAGGGTAGGAGGGGTGCGATCTAATCTCATTGGTCTTGGTGGGGGAGGTACTGGTCCTTTCTGGTTAATCTCTGATGATGTTTCAGAGTCTGTGGCCAAAAGATCTGGCATGGACTCAGTAATCCCAGGAGAGGCAGCATTTGCAACCTCCCACAAGAAGGAGGGCATAGACAATGTACTTTGGGAGTGTCTCATTAGTTGATCTCCTCCACCACCACTTCCACTGCCAGGAGTATGAGCTCCCAGGTTATATGGCATACTCAATGAGGGTTCCAGCCGACGGTATTTTAGAAGAACTACGTTTTCTGCAATGGCATTTGCTTGGGCTCTTTTGCTCTTGTGCTGATTGCTTGAGCTACTCGATCTAAGCTGCTGTGCACGTTGTATCAGCTTTAATTTAAACTTTGCTCTCTTATAAGCTGAACCTTGATTAGCTGGAAGCCTTAATTCTAATTTCAAATTATTTTTTAATTTTTCTTTTAAACTATTTCTGGGCATTGGAAGTTTGTGTGTTTTAGGTGGAATGGGAGGTTTGAAATCCTTTGGCATCTTGTCTGTTCGTGGCGGCAATGGAGGTTTGTCTTCGGAATCTGATTCCTCCTTATTTCCTGAACCTTCTGAACATTTAGAACCCTTTGATCCCTTAGAAGTTCGTGACTCCAATGTTTTTTCATCACTTTCAGACCCACTGCCAAGTGTATGCTTGCTGCTTCCACTCCCACCACTGTGAACAGATGACACTCTAGAATCATTGCTGCGTGACCGTCCTTCTCCATTTTTGGCATGTGTCTTAAATGTTGACTTGGGATCTTTAGCTGGTATATTTTCTTTATCCATCACATAGTTCTGAATAGATGTTTTGACACTATGCACTTGTGACTTATTGTTTTTTGCAATCAATTTAGAAGTCTTCATTTCATTATTACTTGTTCCACGTGATTCATATCCACTCGTACTTGCTGCCTTTGAATCAAATATGGTGCTGGTGAGCGACTTGTTATCATGACTGGTAAGTGATTTTGAGTCATGATTTGCACCTGATTTAACCTCTAACTGTGAGAGAACTGCAATGTGAGACTCCACCAATGAAGATTTTAAGCCATTACGGATCTGAGGCTCTGGTCTGGTGACGTCTGGGGGAATTACTTCCCTTTTCCCATTTTCTGCATCTAATTGGTCCATAGCCAGCTGAATGTCTGTAGCACTGAGGTAATTTTCTGGAACAGAAAGATGTTCAAATTCAATTGATTATACTGATAAACAATGGCACCTCCAAAATCCAAACCTTCATATTACACATGCCTCTAAATAATGGACAGATTTTATAGTTTGATTATTTTGATTATTAAATATTTTGTTATAGTATTTTTTTTAGTTTGGGCCCAGTTTCTTGGGGAGCTCCTTGGTGGCTCCCTGCAGCTCTCTTGCTGAGGTTGCTCCATGCTAAAATATCTCATCAGTTGCAAAAGTTTTGTTTGGCCTACCATGGACCATAGCCCCAACCTGGCACCCCTCACGGAAGCACAGAAAGAGTGTAACAGTTCACCACCTCAACAGGAAAGCATTCTGAAAGTCAGCAAAGCTTTACAGATAACTGGAAGGTTTACAGAAAATAAAGCCCAAAAATCACCAAACAAATCACACACAGAACAAGGGATTCATTCAAACTAGCTATAAATTCATTAGTACCCATTGTTACCACCAGATGGCCAGGGCCCTTGCTTATATCTGGGCTTTCCTGGTCAGTTTTGTTGCTGATGTTATGGTGGAAGATTCTACCAGTAGTACTCCAGTCCACCTGTCATGGGCAAGCCCCTCTGCTTCCAGCCAAGTGCCAACTGTCCATGGACTTTGTTCACCCTGAGGGAGCCATTTGCTCATGTATTGTTCTTTGATTGTACTGTCCTATTAGCTTCACATGCTTGTTTTCTCTCCAGTTCATTGCATGGAATTGGCTTTTGCTGTACATTGGGCTACAGACGTTCAGGACTTTCTTTTATGGGTGCCAGCTATTTCTGTCCCTACACCAATAGTTATCTTCCCTGGTATGTTTGAGTTTGCCCCCAAGAGACTAGGTCACTGGGGAGGAGAGCCTCTCATCTTGGGCTATTCACAAGTTTTCGATTCCTCTGTTTGGGCTTTTGGCTGGGGGAGTTTTTTGGTTGTGCTGGGGGGTGGACTGGGGTGTGCATGCTCATTTATACAGCATGCCATGGTCCCCATTCATAGCTAAGTTGTTATGGTGGTGTTTGGTAACTGTTTTTCTGGCAAGTGGCCATAGCGCTTGGGGTTTCTGCATAGTTAGCTACCGTCAGGCTTTGATAATCCCCTCAGGGATTTCTAGTGTGGTCCATTATGGATTGGTACGTCAAGCCTGAGCTTACAGAGTGCAAGCTTGAAGAATATTCATCATCCTTGTTACCTGAGAATGCTCATTCTATCTGCCTCCATCATGCTGCTAGCTGGGTCAGTGACATCTACAACCCTGAGTCCTATCAGGTTTGTTCTCACCGAGTCTCTGCCCTAAGTGATTTTGCTTCATGTTTGTAAGCTATTCAGGCAGTTGCTGCTTTGCATGCTAGGTTTGCTTGGGTTAAGTGTTCGCAGCATATTGATCATCTATGCCCTCGGAGTTGGCCCCTATGGTGCTTAGGGATCCAGAATTGGAGGCACTGGTGACCTCCACCTCGACTATGTCTGCACATGCTCTTCCTTTACCTGCAAGTGTAGTTTGCCCTGCTCCTGGTCTTCCACCCATTTGAAGCATCTGAGGGTTTCAGAATTGAGTCTGGGTTTAGTCAAGAGTGTAGCTCAGCCTTCTCTAGGGGTGATCCCATCCACTTCGACAATGTATATAGTTGAGTTTTGTGGTCCCATCAGGGTTTCAGGGCACTTGCCTTCACAACTGCCAGATGCTCTAAACCTTCTCTTTTGGAGGATGTCTTTCTGTTGCAGGTGATAGGTAAGGACTATGGCTCTTTCCCGGAGCCTACATGGCAGGCGTCCAGTGCTGAAGGAGGGAAGCCCAAGCAGGAAGCCCTTTAGGTACCCTTCAAGGGCCTTGGGAACCTCTTTGGTACTTCAGAGTCACTGTATTTCTAGAGGGTTCCATCTTGCAACATTGAGCTTTTGGTGGTTCGTGTAGATGTGTTTCGGTACACCCTGCAACACTTGGTCGGATCTTTTTCTTTGGTCCATTTTGAGTAAGGATCTGGCTCGGCTTAATGGCTGCAATATGAGTCTTTGGATTCATCCTCACTGGCTGACAACCCTCTTTTTTTTTCCTTGGAGGCTTAGCATGGATTATGTTGGGTCTGCAAATTTAATTGGCAGAAAGTGAGTTCTGTCTTTCCAGAGTTCTTGGGCAGTGCATTTTTGGCCCCACTCGAAAATTACCAGTTTGCTCCAGTGCATCCCAAGAATGTGGGCAAGTGGCAGCTCCATATGTAGCTGTCTGTGCTGTTTGCAGCTCTTATTGCTGAGGATCATAGGGGACCACTTGGCGCCAGTTTACCATGTTTGGGTCCTTGTGTAGGGTATCTCTGAGCAACTCCTTGTGGACATGGCCTCGAGCCCTTGTTGTTCTGGCCCTGGTAACATTGCTCAAGATGCATGCCCTTTCTCTTTGGGAGGTGGTGGCAGCATTCTACTTGGCCCACCTCATGTGTTGACAGACAGTGTTGGATTAGATTTGCTCTCCTACCCTTTTGTCTGCCTCCCATTTTTCACACCTTCTCTTTCATGATGTCATTTCCAAGATTTTATCAGTGGTGGCTTTCTCTTGCCACCCCAATCAATCATTTCTTGTTTTCTCTGGGTTCTGCCCTTGCTCAGAGGCAGTTCAGTTGGATGGGGATCTTGCCTGCTGTTGGAGAAGGTAGGTCCTTGGGTGGGTCTGAATACTGGGCCGTTGCACTTCTTACTGCAAATTCATCTTCTTACCACTTGATGTTGCAATTACAAGGCATGGAATGATGGTTCTGCTCGTAGATTGTGCTGACTCTTTTGCAGTTATCCCTTATGATGCCACCATGGGGAGCATCTGGCTCATTTTGCCAGCTCTTTGTCACACAATTAATTCATGTTTTGGTCATTTCCCTTGGTGGAGTTGGGTCTTATGGGTCAGGAGTCCTCCCTGGCACTGTCAGGTCAATGCAGGATGGTTGGACATCAGTGAGGTTAATATATATGAGTGTGTGTGTGTGTGTGTGTGTAATTACCTTAGTGTAATTACCTAAGTGTTGACCATGTTGTGGCCTAGTTGACTAGGGCGTGTGAGTGGGAACACCCACTGCATAGATTCGAACCCTCATCATGGCTCCTACAGATTTTCTCATTGACACATCATGTTAGTGTGATTACTCTTTGTGTATTGAAAGAGGAGGGTCAGAGGTAGAACATTCCTGGATGACAGAGCTAGAGTGCATGGGGGAGGGGGGGGAGGATTGTGTGAAAATCCTGGTTCTGGTTTCATTGGAAACCTCAGGAAACCCTTATGAGCTCAGTAGAACTCCAGGTTGCAGTCCTTTTGACCACGTCGTGGCCTAGTTGACGAAGGCGTGTGCATGGGAACACCCACCTCATAAGTTAGAACCCTCATCATGGCTCATACGGATTTTCTCATTGACACTTCATGTTACTGTGATTACTCCCTGTGTACCTAATTGTAGTTACAGGATGAGAGCTACACTCGTGGTCTATCCAGAACTCTTTGTTGTATAACGCTTTGAAACTACCAACGGTTTTGGGCTGCATCACCTTCTCACTTATTTGTTCTAACCGTCTACCACTCTATTTGTAAAAGAAAACTTTCTAATATTTTTTTTTACATTCTTGTTTCCTTAACTTGAATTTGTGTCCTCTTGTTCTTGAAGTTGCTGGTTTCAGAAATTTCTTTTTGTCAATTGGGTCGATTCCTGTTAGTATTTTGTAAGTGATCATATCACCTTGTTTTCTTCTGTATTTTAATTTTGGCATGTTTAATACCTCTAGTCTCTCCTAGCAACTCTTGTTTTTCAGTTTCGGAAGCCATTTTGTAACATGCCTTTGCACCTTTTCCAGTTTATTCATGTGCTTCTTGAGATTTGGGCACCATATAAATGCTGCATATTCCAATTTTAGTCTCACAAAAGTCATGAACAGTTTTTTTAGTATTTCACTATCCATATAATTAAAAGCAAGTCTGAAGTTGGAAAGCGATGCATACGCTCTTCTTACAATGTTCATTATGTGTTCCTCTGATGACAGCTTACTATCCAAAACCACTCCTAGGTCTCATTCTATGTTAGAGTTCTGTAATTCCTTTCCACATAATTTGTAAGTTGCTCATGGTCTATTTTCTCCGATTCCACATTCCAAAGCATGGCCTTTATTCACATTGAATTCCATTTGCTACTTGATGCTTCAAGCACTTATTTTACCTAGATTAATTTGAAGAGCATTATATTGTCTGTGTCTATTATCTTCACCAGTATCTATGCATCATCCACAAACATGTTCATATAATTCTGTATTCCTTCTGATAGATTGTTTATGTTGATGATGAACATTCCCGGTGTAAGAACTGAACCCTGTGATACTCCATTAGTAACACTCCTCCAGTCAGGTACATTGTCTCTTATTACTGCCGTCATCTGTTGGTTAGAAAATTTTTCATCCATGTCAGAAATTTCCCTGTCACCCTTCCAGCAAGCTCCAGTTTCCAGAACAGCCTTTTGTGTGGGACTCTGTCAATGGTCTTTTTTTTATGTTCAGATAGACACACTGAACTCAACCACCTCTTTCCTGTAGTATCTCTGTGGCTCTATCATAAAAACTAAGTAGATTTGTTACACAGGATCTTCCTGTTCAAAAACCATACTGTCTGTCCATTATTATGTCATCGCTCTCTAGGTGTTCAACACATTTGACTTAACTATTTTTCTAGTGTTTCGACAACCACGCTTGTTAACCCTTAAACCGCGCATATCATATATATATGATATCAGTGACAAAACCAAAACTGCGCACATCATTTATATATGATTTCGTGTCTAGCGCTATAATTTAAATGCCACGCCTGGGATAGGGGCAGCTATAGTACAGCCATGACCAATAGTTGCCAGATGCCACCTAGAAAAAAAATCCAGGCCAACATTCTTGGTTGTTAGAGCGTCAGTATTGAGCAAGCCACCAAGACTGGCGCATGCAGCACGAGCTCACAGCACCGCTGTTCAGC